TTTAAGGCTTTGGGGTTTCGAGTTTAGGGCTTTGGGTTTAGGGTGTCGGGGTTAAGAGTTCCAGGGCTCTGGGTTTGGGGTTTAAGCTTTATGGTTTAGGAACTAAGTTTGGCTCAGTCCAGAGGTGCTGTGCTCTTTCGGTCTCTTAAGTCAATTTCAGATCATGGGTACAAATTGCCGTTTCTAGAGGCTCGGAAGATGTCGCAAGTGTTGACCCCAAGCCCTAAACCCTGAACCCCTCAACTCCTAAACTCCGAACCCTAAATCCTAAACTCCGAACCCTGCACCCCACCCTACATAACCCCATATAACCCGAAACTCTAAAATACAACCCTAAAGAACAACTTAGATCCTAAACCTTAGACCCTACAGATCCCTTGAAAAAGGAGCCCCTTCAAGGTAGAGACTGGTACGCCGTGGCGGCGTGTATTTTCGTATGGATCTATAACTACACGGGGTTCCTCATAAATACACACTGTCACGGGCTTCCATAAACTGACGTTCCCGCGGATGAAGATGCTGAGGCCGAGACCTTGGTGGGGTTTGAACTTGTTCTGTTTACATGTTCTGACAGCATGCATTCCAGCTTTGTTTGCTTGTCTCTAATTTGTTCTGTAATAGGAGCAGGCAATTCTCTCAAGTCTCTCAGCTATGTAGATAACAAGCACTGTTTTCGTTGGTGCGAGAATTGGAGCAGTGGTCTGGTGCGAGATTTTCATAGCTCCGTCACACAAGGTAGTCCGTATAACAGACGAAGCTGAAGTTCGCACACAAGAAGCGGATCGCTTTAAAATAACCTGGACAGTGGGCTTCTCCATCAAAGATTTTCCAGAGCCATATTCATCACGCGGACGAAGCAGGGCGCTTGAACAAAACACGGGCAGCGGGTTTCTTCTTCAAGAAATTGCCAGCGGGACGGCGAAGCACGGCATGGGAGCTAGATGGCTTTCGACAGGTATATGGACGAGGCTGACGGCGCTTCCGGCCGGAGCTGAAGGGGCTCAAGTGTGTGATGCTGTTGTTCCGCACCAGCTCATTGTGCTTCTCGACATAGTGCAGCTCATAGAAGAAGTGAGTTTCACGCGCCACATTATTGAATGGATTTGTACAATTCCTGAACCATGCGAAGGTTTGTTCGGCGATGGATGTATTGACATTCTTCAAGCGATTGTCAATCTTCTTGTGGACAAGTGGCGAACAAGGACAATGAGGGCCATGAGCGGCGGCATGAAACTTGTCAACACAGAAGTACTTCACTTGCTTCAGCATGTCGGACTTGTTGACTGCCGACATGGCACAACACATGCGATCATAGACGATGCAGTCGAGAGCAGGTAGTAGTGCAGCAGCATCCTCCAATGTCCGGATGGCCAGCTCATCTCAGGATGTTTCATTTCCTGCAGTCCAACAATTAAACCCGTTGCCGGATGGACTGCCAGAAACCATCCGTTGGTGCGTTTCTTGGCTTTTCCGTCCTTGCGAGGGCGACCGCCATGAGGAACATGAGCGTCTGAGCACTTAGATGATACCTTCTCGTGGCCGTCAATGACCAGCTCATACATGACGGCACCTTCTTGAACTGAGATCCATGCTGCTGGAACCATGTGTGGTAGCAAAGTTCCATGTATCGAAAGCTTGCAATCGCAACAAACGGACAACGCAGACAATGCATAATGTATGCAAGGATTTTGCTTCAGTTGCTGTGCGGCAGCTGGACTAGTTGCAACCGTCACTGCAGGCACTCAAATATGCCTCGTCCCATAAGAGACCATCAGGCGGAAAATTGTATTCGGAAGCTGCCTTACACGAGCGGTCGCGGCTAAAACTGCGATGGTTCCCTTGGGAATACCAGCGCTGCTTGGGCCAGCGCTGCATCCTTTAATTATAGGACCAGCACGCACCGTTCCAGTACCTACCCTTCCTATCGCGTACGGCGGATTCTGCTTTCTCCGCCTTGCGTGCTTTCTTGGCTGCTGCCTTGGTGTTTTCCAAGAAAAAACCTCTGTATGCGGACGCGTTCTAGCTCAAGCTCGAGTTCTACATTATGCGTCTTTCCGGAGCCTTTCAACTCAGAAACTGTTCCATCGAGCTCTGTCGTCGTTCCTTTTTGTCTTCACTTTCTTGTTAGGCAATGCAATCTTCCTCTGAAAAGTCCTTGTCTTCGTCACTGTCGTCTTCTTGTTGGAGACAGTACAACTCTTTCGAGAAGTCGTTGTCTTCATCAAGGTCGGCTGCACCGCAGTCTTTTTACGATCTTCATGTGGATTTTTGTTGCACCGGCAGCAGTCGACTCCCCACTTGCCACATCCATGGCATTTGGAGCGCCCCATGCTGTACGCAGCGCGTGTGATGAAAAGGAACGTAGGCTATGGAAATAAATGCGGACAAATATATAAGACGAGAAGAATACAACATGTGAGTATTGATAACGTAGACTTAAGAATGCCAAGCACCACCAGCGCTGGAACCGAGGCCAGTACCTGGAAGACAAGTGCTGGGTTTATGACATATAAATTATAATAGAGTTAAGGCAATGAGCACGGGACGATGAAGGGGGTGGCGAGGCAGGGGGGGGGGGGCAAAAAAAAAACAAAAACAATTCCCCCGGATCCTCCCCTCACGGCTCTCTACCTGTAATTCTCTGGACCTACTGACCTAGAGAGTACTCTTGAATCTAGTATATAGACTGTAGCACTATACATACCTGAACGAACTAGGTTAGAACCTGTTGCACTCCGCAATCAAACCTTGTCCATCCCACGAACTACTGTAGTTAATATATCATATTAGCAATATCTCAAAGCCCTGCTACCAGGGCGGACCAGAGCTATCGGTCCATCGCCAGCTTCCAGCGGTTCAAGCTCTTCCTGGCGACAGAGAATCTCCAAACAATTGACAAATGTAAGGCATCTCAGCCAGATAATGCAACCTACCCCGACATGCACTCTCGCAATGGAACTTTTCGCACCTTGCAATATACAAATTGGAGCAGAAGCCTTCCATACATGCTGAGAGCCCATTTGATTGATGCCCCAGACCTGAACTCAAATCCTGCGCGCTGGTTTTCCCGGGCCAGCTGACAGATGTGGATGATCATCGGCCAAACGTAACACAAGGTCTTACCACTTCCTGCAGGCGGGCTCTCCACTGAGATGCTTTGACCATAAACACCTGCTAGTTACTGGGAGCGAGTCTCGTCGACTTGACCGATGAATCAAGAGATCAGTTGCAGTTGAAGGCCAGGGCGCAGGCCGGACTCCGCAGTGCCTATCACGTCTTTCCCTTGGAGCGCGACGGGCCTGGGCATTTGCAGAAGGGCTCCGAGGCTTCCAGTCTGGAGGCCGGGAATTTCACACTTGCAGTTTGTCGGGGCTGTGCCACTCACCAGAGACCTCGCTTCTGCAGAGGCAATGGCCAAATCTGGCTTTGGGCCGGCGTCGGCTCCTGTGGGAGGTCCGCGTGCCGATTTCGTAGCCACCAATGGTCCGCCTTCAAGGGGTCAGAACTCAGGGAGCATGAGGCTACGTCAAACCGCCAACATGCACCTTCAGTTGCCTTGATAACATCGGATGGGCGCATCGTTCGACACTCACTGCACGTAACCGCATGAAAAGATACATGTCCGCAGCTGTATATATACGTTTCTGCGCACACCTGCATAAACAAAAACATACATACATGAAGTATTCGTAAATAGTACATACATGCATGAATGCCTGCCTGCATACATCCATCGTCATCACGGTTGTTGCTATTAAAGCAGGAGGTGCTCTTACAGCTGCTGTTCTGCTAACGACGAAAATTTGCGAAATGACCACGAGAGTGGCACCCTGTCTTGGGTGTTACCCGGCAGCTGGAAGCTCTCAGCCAACAACGACGCAGATGAAGCATGTTCTCTGGCCATGGACTGGATCTCTAGCTGGAAGGTGCATGCTGACGTGGCACACTGTGGCTACAAGGTCCGAGCATCTCGCTGGATCAGCCGTTGGAAGTCTGCTTAATCGACCGAGGGACACCTCATTCCTGTCATTCCTCATGCAACGATGTTCAATCTGCCGGAGGTGACAAAGGAGGAGTGTAAAGGGGATGTGTCGGCCCGGGCCTGGCTTTTGAACGCCATGTCAAACAGTGCTCTTTGGGCACTTAAGCGCAAAAGGCCGTTTTCTTTTACCCTGACTGCGGGAAGCAGGCACTTGGAATTGTAGGGTTATACAAGTTTAACAAACATTCCTAATTATCCAGACCTCTCTATCTTATGCAGTTCATGTTTTAGGACAGATCGGGCTCAAGAGCATAGCGCACAGAGTACCAAAGACCATGAGTAAGGGAATCGGAATATGGACATTTCTACCTGATAAGCCAAAGATTGCCGCGCGAGTGGCCGGAAAAGTCAATCTGCGCAGCATGGGGGCTACGTGGCTTAGGTTGCCGAGTTACAGGGTTCGACCTTCACATTGCCTTGGTCTCTAGGGATCTGCAGTGGTACAACCTGCCTCATGAGCTTTGGGTGACGGCGACGACGACTGTGCAAACGAGTGGAAGAGCGGGGCACGATGACACCGATGACGACGGGTGACTGTGAAAGAGGACGATGGGACGACGGAGGGCATGATGATGATAATGATGATGACGATGACGATGATGGTGGCGCAGGCAACTATTGTGATGAAGTGATGATACGGCTTCCTTGGGACCATGTTAAATGATATTACCCCGCGCCGTCGAATTAAAGTCGGGTTCCTGGTTCTGATTTTTTGGTGCAATTTTGATGAGTTTGGCTAGAGTGCCAGATTCTGAATGCATGATTCTTTGACGCGCGTTGGCGCAGTGGCTCTTGGAGGCAGGCTCAGCAGCCGTGAATGAGATGCAGGATATCAACCTGCAAATCTGCTGAGGCGGAGCCGCTCATACGCTTCCATGGGGTCGTCATCAGCCGGCCAGAGCATGCTCAGTCACCAGATCAAGGAAGATCGTTGGCTCTCTTGGAAGCAGGGCAGACTTCAGCCGCTGTGAATGAGATACTGGAGATGCGCCTGCAAATCTTCTGAGGCGGAGTTTGCGAAAGTCCGCACCTGCTGTCTCGCTTCTGCATAGGTTTCCCTGGGGTTGTCATCAGCCAGCCACAGCATGTTCAGTCGCCAGATCAGCTCATCTTCACGGACATGACTGTCCATCAGCAGCTTGACCAGGAGGGACGCCCACTTCTGACGCTGAGGCTTGTTCATCGAGCGCAATACCATCGTTAGGCTCGTGATGCAATCACCTATCTGCCCCGGGTTGGCAGCTATGTCGGACTCCACTAAAGCTTCCATCCGGGAGAGCACGGTCTCTGCAATAGGCCGCTGCAGAGAAGGCAGCGCATCACAAGCATAGTTCATCACAACGTACATGGCGTCTCTAGCAACAGAGCCCGCACTCATACAGTTCCGAAGCAAGGCCTGGAGGTTCTTGGCGACAATGCCGCGAACGTGGCTTTCCCCAAAGTGGGTTTTTCTCTTGGACGCCAGGGCCATGCACCAACGCCGACCTCAGAATAGAATGAAGCACTGTCGGCTAAATTTGCTAGTGACGACTGCGCCTGACGAGAAAGATGCAAATGCTGGAAGATCATTTTGAACGAGGCAAGAGGCACTCGTAGAACTTCTGCTGCTCGGCATCGCCTCCAAAGGCTTCCGCGAAGGAATCCGAGTCGCAGGAGAAAATGTGCAGCTTGTCCGCGAATGCGACAATCGACGAGAGCCTGCAGGGCAAAGCTTAAATTACACATGGTACCAGGATCGCAACACGCAAAAGCAAAAGACAAGAGGAGGAAACCAACTTGCGAAAGCATCTGCAGAAGCAGCTGCTTGATATGTTCACGGTATCTTACACCGGCGGAGCCGTGGAAAAGATCCCTTTCTCACCAGTAATGCTTCGTCCGTCTAATTATGTTTACTGCAGGAACAGATGCCAGCCGCACCGGCATACATGAAATCGGGGGCTGGCTGAGCGTGCCAGGTCTCTTCCGTGCCTGTCCATGCTGCCCATCTCAGCCACGTGCTCTATCAAGGCCTGGTAGCAGCACGGGAAGTGTCCTTCAAGAAACGAAGAAGCAGACTGCAGGCCTCGGGGCTCCGGGTGCGTCGAAAGCTGGCGCCAGGTCAGCAAATCCTGCACCTCGGATCTCCCCCAGAAGACCCCTGCAACATCTCGTGGAACACTTCGAAACCAAGCCGCGGTCAGGTACGGCAACAGCTCTGGCCTGAAGCTTGGCTCTGCGGGAGTTCGCCGAAAGGGACCGAAGACCATGCAAGCAGGCCGTTAACAAGCCGAGGTGCACGTGTAGGTCTGAGGGAGTGCATTCCCCGCTGCCAACCTCGGTTCCTGCGAGCTCCTTGGCTCAACAATCGTTGACCAAGCATATGCTGCAACGGCTAACGACTCTGAATGCCCAGCTGCAACCGCCGGGCAGTCGGAACGCATCGTCGCCGAGGTCTCCGGCAACGAATCCCGGACCTGGGTGCTCTGCTCCGAATGCAGCATCACTCCATGGTCCATGGCCTTGTGGCAAGGGGCGGTGCAGTCCTCGCCATCCGTCTGGCAGGACGCATTGGCGTGGCACATCGGCAGCCGTGAGCAAAGCGTGGCAGTTGGAGGGACGCCCTCCGTCGCCAAGGGCTCCTGCGATCGTGCGGACGGGCTTGGATGGTTTAAATTCGACGCACCGGTCGTAGCCCGTGTTGCAAAATGGAATGCTTACAACAGTGCTTGCGGGTAGCAGCGGGGGGCAATCTGGCAAAATCACCTCTTGCAAGATGGCCACAATACCGCTCACGAAGTGGTATCCTCAACACTGCTTTCCTGCAACCCGGTCTGCGTACAAAGCACGCTGCAGGATGCAGCTTCCGGTGCAGGTGTACAAGATGCGAAATGACGTAGAACTGCAGTCCCGGCAGTGCATTTGAATGCTATCAACACTAAAGGGCTTCGACCGCCAACCATCCAAGCTTGACTTGCTCGGATAACTCAGCTAGCATCCGTCAGACAGATAATACTTGATAATACTGCAGCACCCTGCTTCGCGAGTGACTGTGCGAAGCTTCCGCTGCACCCTTAGGCCAGCCCCGGCCTTCTGCCAACCTGAACCTGCGACCTGCTTCAGTGAAGAGAGAAACACAAAACCTGCCTCCGACACGGGGGAGTCCGCGCCACTGCTGCCACTCCCGGTGCTTTGCATGTCCGACACAGCTTCCGAGCTCCTCGGCAGCAGACGGAGCGTGCATCGCCTGTGCAGAAATCAGAAAAAATTGCGGCCCAAGGCTCTGTGCGGTGCCAGCATGCTGTGAGATCTCAGCAGCAATTGGAGGTGCGCCCTCCGTTGCCAGGGTTTCCTGCACGCATGCAGGCCGTCTTGGACGAGGATTTGAACAGGTCCGTCATTGTGCAATTTTCCATGATGTTCCCTGATTGTTCATGTTGAATGATCCAAGTTTTGAATCCACAGGCTCGGATTAAGTGCACATCCTGGTGAAGGAAGGATTGAACGGTAACCGGGGCTCGGAGCAATGAATTCCCAGTCCCTTTCTCCAGGATAGATGAGATATCCGTCACGAAGTGCCATCTTCCACTAGGGTCGAACCCCCCCACCCCCGCGGCATGCTTCGAACGGAGCAATCCCGCTTGGTACAACCAGGACGGGTTTATGCATCGAGAACTATCCAAAAGGCCTCCGACACTTCATGGACGATTATCCAGTCACCATCGAGGCTTTCTGCGCTGTCGCTGCCAGAGCTGCGAGGGCTGCGAATGCTGCCAGGGCTGCCAATGCTGCGAGGGCTGCCAGGGCTGCCAATGCCAATGCTGCTAGGGCTGCTGCCAGGGCTGCCAATGCTGTCGGAGCTGCGAGGGCTGCCAGGGCTGCTGCTGCCAGGGCTGCTGCTGCCAGGGCTGCTGCCAGAGTTGGTGCTCTCTTTGTCCGAGACATCTTCCAGGCCCCTCGGCAGTGTGCTGCATGCACTGCCTGCAGACGCGCGAAGCAAAATCGGATTGCTGCCCAAGCGTCTGTGCAGTCGGCAAGAGGGCAGCAGTTGCAGGCCCGCCTTTCACTGCAACGGGCTCCTGCGATCATGCTGCAGGAAGTCTCGCATATCGTTTTGAAACGGGCTGTCTTTGTACAGAGTCATACAGTCCCACTGTCCATGATTACCCATTGTTGCGCCAAAGGCCAGCCAGCTCGGGTTCTAAGCGTTGGAGTCATGGATGAAACTCTAGGGCCTGACCGGCCTTGACCTAAAAACATCCAGCTCATGATCCCAACCCACGGATAAAACTCCACGATCCAGCCCCGGAAGCGGGATAAAGATAAAGGTTTGCGGCTTGACCCCAAGGGTTTCATCCAGGCAGAACAAACCCATATCCCAGCGTGTTGAAGATAAGTGCTGAGGAGAGGGGCCTTCGGCCAGAAAACCTGACACAATCTCGCTCTACAGGCCTCGGCAACACGTGGGTCTGCAGCCGGCGACTTGGCTTTGCAGCACCTGGGCGTGTGCTACTTCACTAGCATGTCCCGGCGGCTCGCAGAGGCGATTGCTTGCAGCCTGCAGACTCACGCCCCACGAGTTTTCCCACAAGCTCCAGAAGCTGCGAGATCTGGTTCTGGTCCACATCGTGCTGCAAGCGGCAATAAGATATCCTGCGCTATCCGGCAAGCAGCGACGGTGCAGCCCTCGCTCCCTCCCTCACTTGCTCGCTCGCTGATCTTCAGGCCCTGGCTGCTGCTGCAGACCAAGGATTACGTTCTGTTGCCTGATCTGGCAACATCTGTTGAGATCGATAAGGTTTCATTTAGGCTCAGGGCTTGGCTCACAAAAAAATCGAACCTGGCTTTCCACGTCTCGGCTCCCGGCAAGCAAAACTGCTGATTGCTCTGCGCCAGCTTGCAGCGGACGGCATTCAGCCTCGGACCACTGCTGCAACAGAAACTTTTACGCGAAGCATGTCAAAGCTTCAGCCAACTCCGAACAGAAGTTGCGAGAGTGAAAGTCCATACGAGTACTGAAGCATTATGGCTGACTGAAACCTTTCTAGGACTTTGGCGACTATAGCACCCTGCAGAAGGCTTCCACACGATGGCGTCTAGAAGCCAACATCCGTCTTGCTACAAGCGGTCCGCGTTGTGCTGCAAGCAGCAATGAAATAACTATCCGGCATTACAGATCTTCAGGCTCAGGCTGCTGCTGCAGACCGACGTTCAGGTTCTGTTGCCTGATCTGGCGACGTCAAGAGGTTTCATCTAGGCTCAGGGCTTGGGGTGAGCTTCAGGTTGACTCCGTGTCCGGATTACAATGCAACATCTGCTCACAAAACGATTGAACATGGTTTCCACGTCTCGGCTCCCGGCAGACAAAGCTGCTGATTGCTCTGCGCCAGCTTGCAGCGGACGGCATTCAGCCTCGGACCACTGCTGCAACAGCAACTTGCATGCGAAGCATGTCAAAGCTTCAGCCAACTCCGAACAGAAGTTGCGACAGTGAAAGTCCACACGAGTACTGACGCAGGGCTGACTGAAACCTTTCTAGGATTTGGGGCGATTAGCACCCTGCGGAAGGATTCAACACAAAGGCATCTAAGAGCCAAAATCCGTCTTGCTACAAGCGGTTCGCGTTGTGCTGCAAGCAGCAATGAAATAACTATCCGGCGTTATCCGGCAAGCAGACATCGTTGAGCATGTTGAGCCCTCGCCCGCTTCCCTCACTTGCTCGCTCGCATGCTCGCTCGCGGATCTTCAGGCCCTGGCTGCTGCTGCAGACCGACGTTCAGGTTCTGTTGCCTGATCTAGCGACGTCAAGAGGTTTCATTTAGGCTCAGGGCTTGGGGTGCGCTTCAGCTTACTCCGTGTCCGAACGCAGCTCGCATGCTTACAATGCAACAGTTGCTCAAGCAACGATTGAATCTGGCTTTCTACGTTTCGGCTCCCGGCAGACAAAGCTGCTGATTGCTCTGCGCCAGCTGGCAGTTGACGGCTTTCAGCCTTGGACCACTGCTGCAATGGCAACGTTTAGGGGAAGCATGTCAAAGCTTCAGCCAATTCCGAACAGAAGTTGCGACAATGAACGTCCATACGAGTACTGAAGCAAGGCAGACTGAAACCTTTCTAGGACTTTGGCGACTAGCACCCTACAGAAGGCTTCCACACGATAGCCTCTAGAAGCCAACATCCGTCTTGCTACCAGCGGCTGGTTCCAGAGCAGGGCGACTTGGACATCCTGCTGCAGGTACCGCACGGCGCCCTGGCAGGACTAGGAATTGGTGCGATTGCTCAAGATCCGCACTGATCCAAGTTCTAAGTCCCAGATTCGGGATGTACTCGAACAAACGGCTGAGAGCTGCAGTAGCGCAGTAGCGCATGCACCGATGAAAAGCCACGCCTCGCCGGACCCTTCTTGGAAACCCACCATGGCTCGCGAACACGAGCAGACTTCTCAATGTCTTGTGCCTGCCTTCTAGAACCCACTGCTGCGATCTACCGCGGTTGAAAGAACTGCAGCTGAAGAAGCAACTTTCAGCCCGATGACCTGCAAATCCGATCGCTCAGAAGATGCGCAAGGCTGAGCCAGATGCAGTTGCAAAGCTGTCAATCAACCAGCCGATGCTGTGACTGTGACCTTCGCGCACCCGAGCTTTGCGAGTTCCACTTTTTCGGCCTGCACTGTGACAGCGCCGGAGTGAAGCCTCGTAAGCACTTCAGATTGCGCAGGCTAGCGGAGATTGCGCACGAGCGCCTGCTTTGCACCATGCATGAGGCCTCAAAGGCTTGGTCAACCTCCTCAACGGTCGGGCCGCCGGGCCAACGCCGGGCCTATGCCGCACCAGGGATGCCACCATCGGGCATGCTACCACCGTCCTATTGGAAGGGCGTCAACATGATGAGGTCCATGATGCCCTCCAGCTCAATCAGCTTCGCCTCAAACTCGTCCTTCTCAGCAAGCTGGTTCCTTTCCAGCCATTCCAGGGTCTCCTGGAGTGCGCTGTGAATCTTCTGTCTGTCG